AAAATCACGTATAGTTTAATGTCTGATTAGTGACGCTAATGGAAAAAGCCACCCAAACTTCACGGGTTTTTGTGTCACTGATCAGACACTAAACTTCGCGGGATTTTAAATTCCGTGAAATTTTCAAACTTAATTGTCATTTTTGATCCAGTTTCAACCTGGTAGCTGAACTATTAAATCTCAAATGAGTTGTTTTTTAAAATGAATTTTTAATATGGTCTATTTTAAAAATGTATCCTTTATAAAATGTACAACAATAAGTTAAGAAATATTATCGCTACTCTTAAATCCAACTAGCAGATCAGGCGAGGTTGGTGGTGGAACAGGGAAAGGGGGAGAGAAAAGGGGGAGGGGCACATAAACTTATGCTATGTTTGGGAGTTTACTAAGGGAAGGGAAGGAAAGGTAAACAAGGGGAGGGAAATGGAAGGGAAGGAAATGAAATTATAATATGTTGTTTGGGAGTTGAGTAAGGTAAATGAAGGTGAAATTAATATAACTTGTTTGAGAGTAATAATGGAGGGAAGGGAAGGGAAGGAAATATATGTTTATTTACACAAATCATGACCTTATACTAATAACAACCTTATACTAATAACATATAATCTTATCAAATCTTTACACACAACTCAAATTGACAAAACACACGATGTATCTTATCAAAACATAAACAACAATTCTCCAACCAATTTTGCCACATGCAATTCTCCATAAACCGGCAACAAGTTTATAGTCGACATACAATAACCAAAAAGTTACAAGAAGTTACAATAGCCATCTAATATTCCAAGTTTGCCATAAGCATCCATAATTCGGCAACAAGTTTGTAATTGTCATATAATAACCAAAAGTGACAAGAAGCCATAATTGCCACCAAATACCCAAAAGCATCTGTCACACACTGCTTCCCAAAATACCAGGGAATCGGAATATGAACAAGCTCGCGACGTATTAGATTGAGGAGAATAAATAATATAAACATTTCTTCTCAACCTAATACGCTAAGCGTTAAGTAATATATAATGTGAAGTCACAGATCTCTGATCCTAATTAGTAAGAATATAATAAATAACTCGGAATAAAGAAGTGTCATATCACAAATGGGATAACATCCGAGATATAAAGTTTGGGTCAAACGTGCCCTTATTACAAAATAGTCCAACAAAATATAAAAATAATGGTCCAACAGAATAAAAGAGGTACTATAAAATAACTAAAAAAAACTCCTTGAATACTAAAAGAGAAATAATACTACATAAGAAATCTAATATCTCTCAGCAACTGTATAAGAAAAAGGCTAAACTCCAGCTTGCTCTTCTGCTCCATTTGGCATACACTCCGACTGTGAGGCACCTCCATACTAGACATGTCTGTCCTCTAAATCTGACGAACACCAGAGAAAACAGGTGTACGTTAGCGTGCATGGCACACGACAAGGCCCCACAAAACAAAAATAAAACGGTCGAATGACCAATGAAATAACAAATGCAACAACAGAAATAACAATAGATACGTGTACGTTAGCGTGCATGGCACACGGCAAGACCCCACAAAAGAAAAATAGAACAGTCGAATGACCAATGCCATAACAAATGCAACAGCAGAAATGACAATAGATACGTGCAACTGGAAATCTAACAAGTCAAAATACAATCCACTACTAAATCATGATAATCATAAGGAAAAAAACATACAATAACAAGATTGAATACTAGCCATCCTAAAATAGATCACATATCCATATCTCACATAGAGTCAACGTTCATATTCTCGGATAAATAACTGTTCGCATATCCCCTACGTGTATCCAATACCGCTATACAAACTCGGTCAGAGGACTAAACGCAATCTGTTTTCAGCCTGGTCCGAACTCAAGCTAAACTCGGATGAATATCAAACTTACGAACCAAAGTGACTACACAAATTTTACTTTGACCCAACAAACCAATCCCAGTGCTACATAAACTCACTGGTGCCAGCCTGGAAGATACATCAACATCCACATCCGAACACTTGAATAAAGAATTTCTCATCCCAACTCTTCTTATTTTTCTAAGTCAACATAACACGTGTCTCTAGGTCACGCAAGGCCACTACGGTCATGACTACTAATGGTTCTTAATCACAACAAGAAATAACAAATATAATTGATCATGTACAATAATATCATGGCATATCAGGTAATTAAATCTAAGAATGAAACATAAACAGCGTCTACGTAATTTAGAAAATAATCTTTTTCCAAAATAATTTATTTTAAATTATTTCTCATAACATTTAATCTAAAATAATTCATTTTCTAAAATAATTTCCTTTAAATTATTTATAATTATTCTAAAAATACTATTTATCATATTATTATTATTTATTATTAATCATCAACAAACCCATGAAGATTACCACAATATACATGCTACAACTAATCACAATACAATCAAAGATATGCATATAGTTTATAATGGATCTAAAATTCAGATTTGAGCAAGAGGGATCTTGCCTACGAGTTTCTATCGAACGTATCGACATTAACGCGCGCGGCAGCGAGAGATCTGGGGAGGAGGGGCACGTGGGAGGGGAGCGCGGGTACGGTTGAGAACGAGAGAGAGGGGCTGGCTGTGGGCGAGCTCGGGAGGTGGGGAGGAGGTGGTGAAATGTCGACACGACGCGAGGGAAGGAGATGAGGCGAGCGGAGGAGAGTGAGAGGAGGAGTTGGAGAGGAGGGTTGTCTGTGTGGCGGCGAGTTGGTGAGCTGCAGGGGGGTGGAAGAGGAGGTCGGTAGTGATGGGGGCTACAGGGGAGAGGAGAGGCGATGGTTGCAGGAGAGAAGCAACGGCGGCTGAAGGAGGTGGCGAGCGGAAGGAGGGCTACTGGGGGAGGGGAGCGAGTGTCGTGTGGGAGGAGAAGATGGAGGAGAGGAGGGTTGTTGACCCGCTGCTGAACAAAAGAGGGAAGAGAGGAGGAAAGGAGAAGGAGAGAGAGGAAGAGAGGGTTATATTTATATTTAGGGTTAGGGAATTAATTAAGAATAAAATAAGAAAATAATTAGGGGAATATATGAATAATTAGAGGAAAATTATTATAATTAATAACAATATTTATAATAACGATAACAATGATAAAACTAATATTTCTAAAAGTTTTCACCGCAACAAGTTAATTTATAATTACCAAAATTATTAAATGAATATAAAATCAGATTTTTAAATCGTAGAAAATTCTAGAAAATCGAGAAAATATGAATCCCTTTTTAAAAATAATAATTGAATATTTAAAATACCAAAAAAATTATTTTAACTAGTATCGAAAATTCACGATCATTACAGCATCTATCAAAAATAGAAAACCAAAATATTAAAGATGAGTAAGTAGGAAGCTAATAATGAGGCAGGGGTGGCATAGGTGCCCTATGCATCATCCTCACGAGTATTTGCTTCTGCCTCTCCCTTGGACATCCAAGTACTCCCCTTAGATGCATCATCCTCACGAGTATTTGCTTCTGCCTCTCCCTTGGACATCCAAGTACTCCCCTTAGATTCTCTGGAGAATTAAGCTTCTGCCTCTCCCTTGGACATCCAAGTACTCCCCTTAGATTCTCTGGAGAATTAAGTAAGAATATATATATGCATCATCAATGTGTTCGTCGTCAACCCCAATCTCAACCAAAAGACTCCAAAGATCATCCGCTTTAATTATAGTCTTTTTCCGAGCCTTGTTGAATATCTCAGCACTTGCAAGCATTACTTCAGCCACTTCTTCTATGCCATTATAATTTTTTTAGCACCGGCATCCTCCTTTGATTTTCTGCTCTTCTTCAGTGAATTTGCTGTTAACCTAGTCTCCATTGTAGCCCCACGAAAGTCTTCTTTGTCAATTGCTTCTTGGTTACCATCAATACTCTCCAAGATGATTTCCTCCCTAGAAACCATTTCATCAATGTCATCAATTGTAAGATCAACATCAACCTTGTTAGTATCAGTACAAGCATGCCTTCTCTCTCGTATCTCAGCCGTAGTTTCGGCATGCTCTCCTGTTACTCTATCAGCTGCAAAAAGCTTAAGTAGTTTATCGTAATTTTGAATAGGTTTGGTCCTCCATTCAGCATCTTCTGGATGAGCCTGTAATTTTGAAAAAAAACACTAATAAGGCAAACAATTTATACATTGTGCTAAGTTTAATGCCTCCCAAAGACAATATGTGCCGATCTGATTCATTGATGCATAGATTGTTCTGATGAATCATGGCGTTCAATTTCCAAATATAATCAAGTAATCTAGATGGTCATACAAGATAATCAAGCTATAGGCTAGCTGGACCTATGGCAGGCCATACAAGATTGTTCTTGTGCATATATATACAGACATGCGCCTCCACACATTCAACAAACATTATTCTAGATATATATATATACATATATATTGTATATTATAACATATATGTACGCATGTACATGTTTATGTATTTTTTTATTTCTTCAATCAACTTCTTGGTGCTTGTCAAATTTTTCAGTGATCAGTTATTATATCTATATCTATACTACTTCTAAAAGAGAAAACAAGTGTCAAAACTTTTGCATGACAATTTTACCCTTTTCAATATGCTTAATTATAACTTTATCCTATTTTCCTATCTATTTATGGGTATTATATTATATTGTCAAATGAAATTATATTAATTAACTCAACAAAGTCTTTTGGATCAGAACTTGACTCCATTATTTTCTATTTCTATTGAAAAGACTTTAAAAGGCTTAATTAGTAGGCATGCCTTTCTGCTAATGGCCGCTGCCAACACCAACGAGACGAGATGTCCCTGGTCTCCGCTGCTGCCTCTATCAAATCTTTGCTCAACCGGCTGAGGAAAACGCGAAGAACGCGCCGGGACCGCCCTGCCATCATCCCTCAACAAATCGAAACATACAGCCCCCCCGCCCCCCCCCCTCCTCTTCCTGCGATTCTTATGATTCTTTTTGAGTTCTCCTTGCGGGGTCAACCACGCCCCCGCCCCCACCTGCCTCTCCGCTTACCTTAATTTCGTTCGTTTTTGAAACCCCTCAGTTTTTGCCTTTATTATTAACGGTAATAATTTCTAGGGCTTTACATTTTTAACTGAAAATTTTAGTTATTTGTGGTTGTATAAATACTGTAGTGTCTCAGGTTTGATGGAGCAAAGACAACGTCTATTTTCAATTGTAAGTTTTGGTTATTGGTTATTTTTTATTCCTATTATTGTTATCATTACTATTTCCTTGTTCTTATTTCTTACTCTCTGGTAGCTGTTTGATTGGTTGATATGTTCATAACTTACCTTGTTCTTTGTATTGAATGATGATTGATGATGTCTGGAAACTGAGGTTGAGAGGAGTACAAAGCTATCAAGGTAAATTTATTTATTTTGTTATCTCTGTTATCTCGAGGTTTTTCTTACTAATTGTTGAGAAAAGGAACTTTTAGATTGCATTTATAATTAATTTGGTTATAATCGTGCATGTTAAAATAAATGGTTCAGTTAACACAATTTTGCAAACTATTTGTTTGAGGAGGTATTTGTTTACACCTAATCATTATTACGTTTTAAATTTTCTTATGTAAAAAGATTCTTATGTAAAAAGATTATTCACGTCAATCTTACTCAAGAATCTCCAAAGCTCCTGGAAACTAGGAAACCAATAGAAATGACATAATCAGTCAAATGGTCAGCAACAAATGTCACATTTGCACATCGTTTTGATGTTTACTTAGACTACCCTTTTTTCGAACACCAGGTACTTTCATACCCTGCCAACCTCTTTGCTCTCATATTTGTAGTTTTTAACTTGTGTGAAATAATAATAGTGGTGTTCTTCTTTTATTTTTTTTTGTTTGTACAGATTCATTGGTTTTCTGTTTTCTATTCTTTTATGATGGTTATTTTCCTGACTGGCTTAGTATCCATGATATTGATGCGAACTCTTCAAATGCTTATGTATAATATGCTCATGAAGATGACGATCTGATGTCTCTGGTGACTACTTTCTTTTTATGACAAAAAAACTACAAATTTTTTTATATTGTTATACATTATGCTTAGTGGTAAGTGCTTGTAATTTACCAGGAAAGAGATGTGATTGAAGAATCTATACTACTTCTATACTTCTATACTACTTCTAAAAGAGAAAACAAGTGTTAAAACTTTTGCATGCACATTTTGCCCCTTTCAACTTGCTTAATTATAATTTTATCCTATATTTCTATCCTGTTTATCCTTATTTTGCCCTTTTTCCGTTTTGATTATCAGTGTTCATTAATCGTTCTCTACTATGCCGCTCCACCTCCCCGCCCCATATGCTCCCTTCGCTTCTTCCGTTTCTCCCTCATTTAATCGTTCTCTCCTCTGCTGCTCCACCTCCTCGCGCCACCCCCCACCCTCCCCGCCCCTCCTCATATCAAAAATACAGACCAATCAGCTATTTTAGAACAAACATATCCTATGTAGCAAAGAAGTTTTTCATGAGATATTTGTTGCTAAATTTTCCATATTTCTATAAAATTAGTTATCAATTATGTTCTTTATTGGATTTCTCAGTTTTATATTGAATTAAGATTAAATAATTCATAATATTCTTTATTGGATTTCTAAGTTTTATATTTAGATTTTGTTATAGTTACCTATGAGTATAAATATATGTGTTAGTAGGAAAAAGTGTGGTGATAGTCAAATTGCGAAGAGATCTGATGTAACAGCATTGCTAATGTTTAGTATTTTCATTGCATACTTTCTCCTTTTTCAAGGTACTTTCTCCTTTGATCCTATATTTAAATTCACTACTTAGTAGATTAATTGATACTATATGATTTGAAATGAAAAGATTACAACCATAAATTTTCTCAAAAGGTAAAACATTCATAATTCAAACAAAGTATTACTTAATACTAAGATGGAAGGTACAATTGCAATCATTTATTTTTAAAAAATAAATAAATTATGGGTTGTTTATAATTTTGGCTGATGTGCAAGTATGAATGTGTTCTCAAATCAGTAACCAATCCCTTCCTGTTCAAGGCAAGAGCAAAAAGCGAAGCCATGCTGCGGAAATACATAATTTATCAAAAATATTTAGCACGTTACTCATTTTTTAAACCTATTGAACTTGTATATGTTTTTAAATTATGCGCTTGACTGATTTCATATGTGCAATTATGAATAGAGGCGAAGAGATAGGATCAATGAGAGGGTGCACTTCAAGAGCTAATACCCAATTGCAATAAGGTACACTCCTCCTGTTACTGTTCATCTTTTAGTGAACTTTACAATGTGAAAGAGATTGGTTATTTAGGAATTACTACGATTTTAGACAGATAAGGCTTCAGTGCTTGATGAGGCTATAGAGTACCTCAAGTCCCTTGAGATGCAACTGCAGGTGAAAAAAACATACAATCTTCTATGATGGTTTCGTTTTTTAAATCTCTCAGAATAGTCCAGTCCCTTGACTAATTCCTACACGTGCACAGATCATGACTATGAAGAGTGGCTTATGCATGCCTCCAATGATGATGCAATATATGTGAGGTCCTACAATGGCGCCGATGGGCATAGGAATGGGAATGGGTATCAGATTAAGCTATGGGATAGGAAGGCATGATGTGAATGTTTCTTGGGGGTGCTCCTTTATTCCAGTGCAAGGGCCACAGTTCCTTTCCTCCTCAATTACAGGGTAGCAGGGTGTGCTTCCTTCGCCAGTTAGGTCTAACAACCTCAAGATGTTTGGAATCCGGGGAACAGGGTTCCCAGTGCCACTGCCTTATCGACCCCTTCTACCACTATAGAAGATGCAGTGGACCAGACACAACGATGAATGTTGGAAATTAGCATGAGCAAAATAAGAAACCTTGGAGAAGAAGTAATACTGGTGAATGATAGATTTAGTCCGCTAAGGTTTATACTTTCTTTACCTGTATTTTCTTTAAGTACTCATTTTCATAGACCTCTTGTGTCTTAGTAACTATCATCTGCCATGTTCTTGTAGCAAACTCCATATCATTATTAAATTCTGAGAAGTTAGTAAAAGAGTGTATCGAAAATTTCTCTGTGGTGCATTTTGATTATCAACCATTCCCAAGTATTAGCAAAATGGGATCTTAACCGACAAGTAGACTGGTGGATTGATATATAGAAGCACATCATTGAAAAAATAACTTAGTTGCATTCTGTACAAGAGAGACTAGAATTAGCTCTTTATGCATCTAATTACCAGTGGTTTAGGCAAAGACTGATTAAACCTTGCATTCTTCGTTACTATTTAAGTTTCAGGATATATTATCACATGCTTCCACTATCCAGATCAGCATCCTATCATGCAATGTTTTTTTGGATTTGTCAGAGTTGTAGCGCAGTAAACATTTGTACAATGGAGCTTACAATTTAGAGTTTACTTAGAAGGACACCTGTGTAGTTGTTTCTTACTTATATATGATATATGACACTACCACTATATATAAATATAGGTACACATACACACATAGAATTGTAGCGCAGTAAGTCTTTGTACATGGGAGCTTAGAATTTAGATCTGTTTACGTCGTGAAGTTGATACATGATTTAGGAGGGTTAAACTCAATTTTTTTGGGTCCCTTAATCGCCTTTGATGGTTGAATCTCCCACTTTAGATCTTGCGTTGTTCATCATTACACAGATAACAAATATTAGATGCACTGAAGAATAGTTATTGATAATCCAACGATTGAGGTCCAATTTGAGCATTTGAATATTGATGCAGAGCCATCTGTGGGGAATCGAGGACAAACCTGAACAACATCAACAACAACACCAAAGGTAAGAACATGTTGAGACAAAATGTAGTATGTTCCTTCTTGCTACGGATTGTTTTGATCAATAACATCACTTTTAATGTAGGTGTAATATACCATGTAGATGTAAGATATGTGCTAATCTATGGAATAATGTGAGTTCCCCCAACTTCCTCCCTTCCTTCCTTCTTTTTGTGTTCAACAAACTCTTGAAGTTCATAAACGTAATTGTTGGGTGGTGTTTAAACCGTCAATTCATCATACTTTGTTTTTTTTTTGTGTTTAAAATGCATTCGGTCAGAAAATAGCTGCTGCTTCAAGCTTCTGATTCAATCGTTGATGAGAATTTTTCTCGCAGAAGTTCAGTATGATACTACCACCACTGTGTATTGAAACTGAAACTGTCACTGATCCAGTTTATCACTGACCAAATTACTGTAACCAGTATAAGCCCATAATTATATCTTTAGGCAGCCAATTTTATCATCTACACTGAAAATAGAAAATGTAGGTCAGATAATATTTCGACGTGCCCTGTGAGAATGAAGAATTTGAAATTGGTAGCATATGAATTGTAGGAAAGAATTGCAGGAGAGGTTGAATTGTTTTCAGCAGATGGATGAGTGGCATCAAAACTATCTAAGAGGATGGACAAATTTATGCTTTACATGCTTACTGTTGGTTAAAAAGCTCTGGTGAATGGTGGAATTACTGAATAAGTTTTGAATGAGCTAGACAACACGAAGTTTGGTGTTCTTATTGGGTCTGCAATGGGTGGCATGAAGGTAGAATTTGATAAATATTTTTAATCTGAAGGAAAGTTATTATTTCCCCCTTTTATCAGCTCTTGGTCCTATATTATGTTGATGGATTGAGCTGTTACACTTTAATCTTTATTTTATGCCTTTCTGTATGTTATGGTCGTGGTACTCATAAAGATGAATGCTATTTTTTATGTCTTCAATGATGCAATCGAAGCTTTGAGCGTCTCATACAAGAAGATGAACCCCTTTTGTGTTCCCTTTGCAAGTACAAATATGGGTTTGGCTATGCTAGCAATGGAACTGGTGAGCCAAAGCATAATCTGAAGAAACCTACCTTTGCATACTGATCCTTCAATATTTATTGAGAATTTACTTTTAATTTCTAGAAACCGACCTTTGCATACAGATGCTTCAATATTTTTGAGAATTAATTGTTAATTTCAACTAAGCTCCTTCTTCTCTTCCCTTTGGATTATAGGGCTGGATGGGCCCGAACTACTCAATTTCAACTGCTTGTGCTACAAGCAACTTCTAAATCCTGAATGCAACTAACCATATCATAAGAGGTGAACCTGTAAGTTATCATGTTCTCTCTCTTATCTGTAGTTAGAAGAAAATATACTCTGTCATTATTTCTATGTACATAAGTGTGCTAATCTTGCAGGATATAATGCTTTGTGGTGGCTCTCATTATTTCTATGTACATAAGTGTGCTAATCTTGCAGGATATAATGCTTTGTGGTGGCTCTGATGCAGCAATAATACCTATTGGTATCAGTGTGCTAATCTTGCAGGATATAATGCTTTGTGGTGGCTCTGATGCAGCAATAATACCTATTGGTATCCGTTCTTTCTGCTAATAAATGCTATTCTTCCTCATTGTTTTACCTTCATGGTCTTCATTAATATTACTATTACTATTATTATGATCATAAATCATCACACGCATCATCATCTTCGTCGTTGTCTAGGATTAATTGTATACTTGACATGTGCAGGGTTTTGTGGCATGTCGAGCACTTTCACAAAGAAACAATGATCCAATCAAAGCTGCCTGGCCGTGGGATAGTGTATGTATAGATAGATGCATGATGACAGAGTTCAAAAGTAAATACTTTTTTTGTGTTTGTGCTTATAAGTAAATACTTTTTTTGTGTTTGTGCTTATAACTGTGTAGACGTGCAGTCACTTATTATCAAGATTACGATTAATTAGCACATTTTATGTTAATATCTAGGTTATCTGTCATGTGATAGGAACGTTATGGATTTGTTATTAAGGTTGGTACAGACTACGAAAAGAGGATAATGAAAGGTTTTTGCTAAAGCTCAGAAATCGAATGGAGCGGTAAAGATTTGATTTTGAATTGAGCTTTGTTTGATTGTTGTTTGTTATTCTATTTGTTTGATTAATTGAGTAATTTTTTGGTGTTATTGGGGTTGGGATTGAAAATCCAATGATTAAGGTCCGGATCGAGCATTTGAACATTGATGCAAAGGCAATTGAGTGGAATTCGAGGGATTCAGACAATTACAAAATTTTCTGTGAGTTATTTATTTATTTAAATTTTTTGGATGAAAAGGGGAAAAAATTCATTTTTTTCCTTCTATTATTCAGTTGATAAATTGGTTTGGAAAAGCTTTTTAATTGATTCTTTTAATTTTTTCCTTATCTTATTTCTGATTTTTAATGTGGTCCTCTGGATAATACATTGCGATTAGATCTGATTATTGGTAATAATTTTCAATATTTCTCCTTTTAATTTTGATGTAGCGAGAGAATAAAGAATTAGAAATTAGTAGCATTTGAATAGTTAAGATTATCTAGACATAAGATTGAAATTGATGATTCCAATTTGCCTATAAAATTTTGCTCATAATATCATTTTCTAAAATCTGTAGGCTTACGGAATGATATCAGATCCTGATAGGAAAATTGTGAAACCTAAATTTTCTACTTCAATAAAGAACTTTTAATACGTGAGTTTTTAGACATTTTCATAATTCTTGTATCGCTGTCACATTCCAGTTATTTATTATTCACAAGATTACAAAAAGATTCAGAATTAACCAAACTCCATTGCCGTGAAAGATGCTACAAATAATTGCTAATCAGTTGCATATCAATATTTATTTTTGTTTGCATGAAAGATTGGACGATGTTACCTGTACCTTTATCATGGTCCACGTTCCAGCATACAGTACTATGATGAACTAGGCATCTAGGTCCTATGCATTTCCCTCTCGTACAAATTTCTAACTGTTTTATTTAATAGCTTACATGTGTATTATCTTGAGCGAGATCGTTGTGTGTGTTCATTGGTATACTTATAATTTAGAACATAATTATGATGTTTTGCATCTTGCGTTGTTTTCAGAGGTACTACCATCCTAACTACAAGCATTTCACCCTCTGATGCTGCATTTTCATTGACGCGATATCTTAAAGATCCATATATGGTGGGTGTCCATTGATGAGGATGAATGTGACGACACATGATAATTGTTCTTGTATTACAAAATACAAACTGTACATTCTGGTATGCAGGTGCTAATGATGGACTTTTTTTCCTTCGATCCAATTTTTCAAATTCATGAATAGCTATAGGTTATAAACCTCCTATCAACTTTTACCAAAAATTCACTATAGGATGCATGTGAAGACTCGAGTTTTGGCAAATTTTCCCCATGATCTTATGCTAGCGCAAATGCTCTATATTTTATCTCTATTTATAATTTTTGGTATGTGATTCATGTTGTTTCTGAAAGTCTCTAACATATGGTATTGAAGTGTATTACATGTATAATTGGAGGTAGCAAAATGTAGTTAAATTTCATGTTGTATATGAAAGTAATGTTAAAAGATGGAAGAATGCTCCCAAATTTGTTGAAGTCCTAAGATGTCTACCTACGAAATTTTGCTCATAAAATCAATTTCTACAATCTATAGTCTTACTAAATGATATCAGGTCCTGATGGAAAAATTGTGAAGCTTGAAATTTCTATGCGCACATGAAAACTTATTTAGTTGATGATTGTTTAAAACTACAAGCAATGTGCAGTTATCACATGTTCTATGTGAATAATGTATTTAATAAATAATTGTAAACTTAGTGAGTGAAAAATAACTTGGCCTTCAAATATTTAAACTCTTATAGTTTCTTAATATGCATCACGTGCAACGCACGTATAGCATACTAGTGTAGTCAAAAGTGTGAATGATTGTGAACTTTATTATGTTTAATTGTCTCTTGAATAATGAACTCTCTGGCAATGTTCATGGTATGAACATAGACTAATTGAATTGCATCAATGTGGCCCTAATATAAATTATTTGAGGGTACAATCAAGCATAAATATGAAGCTATATATTCAATAGAAGTAAGAACTAAATGCATAGTAGTATGCATTATATTACTGTAAGGAAAAAATGTAATAAAGCATGAAACTAACTATTGAAAAAATGTAATAAAGCATGAATGGCCAATTACAATGATTGTGTAGTTATTTTTCATTACTTGAATTAGTCGATTCCACACTTCAAGTTCTGCACTCCACATGTTAGTGTTGCGATTCCAAGCAAAGCCGTTGCTCGCATTCTTAAACAAGTCATAGCAAGCTGCCCATTTTGACTTCATATACTTCATACAATTTTTTACTTTATCCCTATCAATTGGATTATTGGGAAACATTTTTTGGAGTTCAGCCACTATTTGATTGTAAGTCGTTGGTGAAAAGACGGAATTGTTCCGGTTTTCAATCACATCTTGATGCAAAAGATCTTCAATTAACTTCTCATCTATAGCACAATTCCACACCAAAAAAGATGTGATTTCTTCTCTTAGAAGAATCATCATCCGTATACCTTCTTTTTAACATTCCTAATTTACATAATAATATTAGGAAATATACAATTACATTCCTATTTTAAACAATAATCTTAGCAAATACACAAGAAAATTATTTACAAGTCTATGAAGGACAATGAATGGTGATTATACTATTTTTACGAAAAATAAATAAGTCTAGTCATCAAGTATAATAGAAATAGAAAATATAAGTCTTACAATCATCAAACACAAGATAAATATTAAACATTATTGCAACAATCATGCATTATAATCTTGCCACATAGAAGTTGCAATGGAATCTCTTAAACACTCCCCTCTTTGTTCATCTTCATCCTCGTCCACATCATCTTCGACCGATGGGTTTTCATTATCACTTTCTACCCCCTTCAGGGAAATCATCTTCTGGGTCGGTACCCCTTAAAAAATTATGCAAAATACAACAAGCTAGGATGATTTGATTTTTTTACTTTAACACTATAATTCGGTTCAATTGAGTTTGCTATGATAGGATATCTTTTTTTTTAAATGCCAAATGCTCTTTCAATGGCATTACGAAGTGACGCATGTCTTAGGTTAAATAGCTCACGTTGAGTCCTTGGTGGATTTCTTGAATACTCGTTCAAATGGTAGCATTCCCCTCTATAGGGTGGAATTATTCCACTTCTTAACATGTATCCACCATCAGCGAGATAATATTTTTCTAAAAAATTCATTGTGATTAATAACTGATAAAAAGGGTTTCATTGTCATTAGTAGATTATTCGGGATTAATGATTACCGTGAGGGATTTTAAGTGGAAATCGTCGTTGCAAAGTATTTTTTAAAATTCTGGAATCAGATGCAGTACCTTCCCACCCAGGTAAGACATAAGTGAATTTCAAGTCAAACATGCAGGCAGCCAACACATTTTGTGTCGGATGATCTTTTCTGCCACGATATTTAGGAGCGTCGATAGGAGAAACCTTTACTCGGGTGTGTGTTCCATCTATTGCTCCAATATAATCCTGATAATATAGGGAGTAATTAGTTAAATTCTGATTTTAACAGCCTATACAAAGGTAAGAATTTGTGAAATTTATCATCACCTTAAAATATGGATCAAACTTTGGATTGTTGCGTATCTCTGAAGGAATTTGTACTCCATTGGGTTGCACTAAAAATATCTCTTCCAACTCTATCATAGCTCTTAAAACATTATGAAAATGATGACTCGCACTCTCTCCAGATCGTCCAAATATCTTACTAACCTCATAAGTAGTTACGTTGTGTCTCAACATATACAAAAATTTTGCAACTTGTTCCTCAATAGTAACTCTTTGAGTTCGTTTAAGTCCGCCATCTCTCTCCAATATTCCACATAATTGATGAAAAGTCGGTGGACTCATTCGGATAACTCTTTGTAATAATATTTTTCGCACCATATTAGTTACTTCTCTACGCTCATATGGTTCACTATTTAATCTCCTTCTATTTTATCTTTGTTGTATGAACCAATAAGCAATCACACAAAGAACATATCCAATTTCACAATGGCATGTATGTTGAAATTTAACCCATGCTTCACCCATTATCTATGTGAGGATATGAAAATAACACAATTAGGATAGAAAATAAAAAATTGTTAATTATACACAAACTAATGATAAATTTAGAAGCTCTTATTACTATACACAAATTAGCTTATCATGTAATTTCAATACTCTTTTATAACACTACTTGATATGTAATGTAAATTTCAATACTCTTTTATAACACATATAGCCATTTGCTCTCTCTGGCAATGTTGCATAAAGCCAATTGATATAGATTCAAAGTAAAATAACCGAAAACCCCTAAAAAAATCAAAGACATAGAACAATTTCCATTACTAGCTACTAACCAGTTAAAGCTTCATGAGTCCACCAACTGCAAGGCCGCCACTAGAAAACCCTCCAAATGTGCAGTAACTCCATCGAAAAGGCCTAATCCTAATTTCCTAGAAAAAATTTGCAACTTTGAATAAAAAAATCAGAAACTGAGAAGAAAGAAAGAGGGATGGCTGCTTACTTGAAGGAGGATGTCGACGATAGGAATCGAGTAGAGAACTCTGACGAGGGGAAGAAGATGACGGCGCGAGGGGTGAGATCGTCGGGGGCGCGCGGGGAAAGAGAGCGCGGATGGGAGAGCACGTAGAGAGAGAAAGGTGGCTGCAGAAAATGAAAAAGAGATGGGAGAGTAGAGTTTACATCATAATCCTTGATTTATTTTGTTGATGAAGGGCAATATTGACATATCAAATTGATGTGAATTTTCCCAGTTCCGTTCCCCTCCTCAACCGCCTGAATCGGGGGGGGGGGGGGGGGGGTTTCCCTTCCTCCCCCTTTCCTTTCCTCTTCCTTACCCATCTCTACCCCCTTAAGAATACTCCCAAACAAGGTGAAAAATAATCCCCCCCCTTCTCTACTCTTCATCCAAACAGGGCATTAAAGAAGAGTTATAACAATCATTATTTTCTAACAACAGCTATCATCTTCTCATTAGTTGACACGAGCTCATCTGTTTGGTAGAAAATTTGCAGTAAAAAAAATTAAAAAAAATATATTTGATTTGTATTCTCTCAATCTTAATTACAATTTGGATTTTCTATTATAAAAGAGAGGAGAATTGATCTAAATTCTCCCCTTTGTTTAAGTCTGGGTTCTTCACGGTGGCAATGGAGTGCCTTCCTCGAATGCTCGCGTCGAGTTTTCTCTCCGTTGATGATCTGAACGTCTTGTTTCACTAGAATGTGATCTTCTCCTCACGATTCGACGCTGTGGAGAACTTGCGTGGCAAGTTTGAAAGAACTCTTGATGAGTTGATAACTATGAACGAGTTTGAAACTCTATGAAAGAGTTTGAAACTCTATGAAAGAGTTAATTTAACCGAAAATTGGTTTGACGAGCTAAGGTCGAGGGATCCAATAAACTTTGTTGCTGCAGGAAGCTCCAAGATGATCTGCTGCAGGAAGCTCGAAGATGATCCAAAGAAGCCGATCTCTAGATCTCCAAGATACTCTAAGATCCAAAGATCCGAACTCAGTTGAGTTTATTCCTATTTATAGGAGATTAAGGGGTGTAACCGCCCCCTTAATTCGCTCCTAAGTGGGGCTGAATAAGGTGCAACTGCCTTTTTAAATAGCTCCCCAAATCATGGGGAAAACGATTTTGAAACCGTTCAGTTCGTGTTTTGAACGAGTCAAATGCTAAAAAATAGCGTTCAGGGCCCGAACTCTACGTTTTAGACTTAAAACACAGAGTTGGGCCTATTTTGGTGGTTGAACGCATAGGTCGTGCTGCGTTGTAAATCTAAAATGCAGAGTTGGGACGCAGAGATGAACTCTGCGTTTTGGACCTGGGACGCAGAGTTGGGCTCTACATGAACTCCGTGTTTTGGACCTGAGACGCAGAGTTGGCCTCTGCATGAACTCTGCGTTTTAGACCTGGGACGCAGAGTTGGGCTCTGTATGAACTCTGTGTTTTGAGTCCACGAACTCTGCGTCTGGACTTGAATGTTGAGGATGACCTTTGCGTTTTCAACTAGAATGATGGGTATGACCTCTGCATTTTGACTCTGGAACGTGGGTATGACCTCTGCGTTTTGATGTTATAACACAAGGATGACCTCTGCATTTTGATGGTGAAACGCAGGGATGACCTCTGCATTTTGATGTGAAGAGACCATCAATTTGTGGTCTCTTTTGCTGGAGCGTT